AATCGAAAGATTTGCTCGGTTCAAGAGGCAATTTCCGTAACTCCGAACGGGTCAGGTTATCCGCGTTTTTAAACGCACTCGAAACGCGTGCGACCCACGTTTTTATGTTTCCTCCCGTAAATCAATTAATTTGATTATGAAGAGTTCGATGAGGCATTTCCTTTTCTTATAGGTGGTAAATTCTTTGGATTTTTAAAGGAAACTATAACTTAAACGGTAAATAGTTTTTGGTTTTTTAACGTAACCGCTTTGAACTTTCTTTTTTAAAACACTTAATAGTATTATCCTTTCTAGTAGGTGGTTAACTCCCAGGAATTTAAAAAAAAATTTTAATTTAAAAATTTCAGAACTGCTTTGAACTTTCTTTTTGAAACCCTTTAAATTTATTTATTTTATTTTTGATTTCTCGTTGGAGAACCGTTCGCGTTTTAAATCGCTTTTGGTACTGGCTGAAATCGCGCCTTCAAGACTCCTCCGCAAAGTTCAAATCTCCGGCGTCTCTTTAACCGCATCTGTGTTTACCCATTAGCGTTTTTCGGGCTGGCAGCTTAAAATGTTTACCCGGCTCGCCGACGAAGACGTTGATGGTGGATTTCAGGCGAGGGAAGGGGAATCTCTGGGAGAGGTATCCAAGGTATACAATCGTCTTTTTTTTGGCCTTTTTGTTTGCCTTTGAATTATTTCATTTTTGGCGAATGTTAAATACGCAATGCGTAAGTAAGGTAGTCGGGAGCGATGAGAGGGGTGTGGCAGACATTTGAAAGCTAGATGGCGCCATCATAAATTCATTGAAATTCCCTTTTAATGGAGATTAATATGAGCGTCCCCGAGGCGCCTCTTTTTGAATTTCCTCCCCGGCTTCACCCCTTCTCGCCCAAATCGACAGCGATTTATTGACTTTGCTAAATGTTTTTGAAAAACTTTGGATATTTGCTTAGTTTTCATTTCATTGTTATTTGCCATTTGTCTATGGCCAAGTGGCTAATTAAGAACGTGGGAATGTCTGAGGGCAATCGAGGTTACGTGACATTTTGGGATGAGTGGAGTGTTTAGGGATTGATGGGAGATTTCTGCAATCTTCTCTAAAAACAATAGTTTTTGGGGAGGATTCCATCCTTACATTTCTGGGAAAAAATATGGAAAAATCAATTATCTTAAAGAATATATATAAAAACCTTTGGATAGGGCTAAATGATTAATTAGGAAATGTTTTAACCATTTTCCATTATTTATTTTATTAGATAAGGTAGGGGAAAATACTGATATTAAATCCGAGTTACTTCAAAACCATTTGTTAATTCGAATTCTCAGTTTAAAGATTATCCCAAAGATTTTCTCTCTTTTTTTAGATTTATTATCTAAAATTAGTGCTTGTAAAAATTAGTCATACAATAAATAGCCATTTATATCATTACCAACTATTTCTGATAGGTACAATCCTCAAGATTTCTAGTTAAATCCGAAAATTCCACCAGACGGTCTCAAGTTTAGCATTCTAGTGCTCCAATCACACCTCTCCAGATTAACCGAACCCTTCTGACGCATTTGAATAAAATTTACAATTGGCAGGCGGGTTCGGTTTAAATGATTTACAACCCCCGAGGAGAGAACCTTTGCCCGCTTGAGCTGTCATCTGGCCGGGAATTGTTTTTGGTGTTTTTTCCTTTTTGATTACCACAAATCAACCAGACCAAATAAAACGATTAGGGAAGAGTGAAAGAGTCGAGGGAACAATGGGAAAGAAAGAAACGTTGATATTTTGTCAAACGTTTATGGGCAAATCAATCAATTTCAATGCAATTTCAATTAGGCCAAGATAAGCTAAGGAGGCGGCCAATCCAATCAAATGGGCCAACGGTCGCTATCAGCCCGATTGTGTGTGTGTTCAATAAACAATTTTAATATTTTTTAATTATGAAAACAAGTTGATTATATAAATTAAATCGCTGCCCCGTCGGCGATTAGATTACGGCACCTCTTCGAAACTCAAAATTCTTAACTTTTCGAGTGATGTGACGACCATTTAAGCGTCTTTAAACAAATTTTTATAATTTTTCCATCTTCATAAATATCAGGGGACCCGAAAGAGGGGTGGCCGCCCAGGCTGATAAGGGATTTTGAATTAATTGAAAATTGATTATTAGCGATATATGGCCAGCAGATAAGAAAGTCCGAAATTGAAGGCAGCTGAGATAAGCGGTTCTTTTATTTCTTTCACTCTTTCATAATTGAAAATTAATCCATCATAATAGACGTCAGCGCAGAAATTAAAACTGAAGTTTGAAGGGTCTTTCAAGCCCTAAAGAAATTCACCGAAGAAGGGGAACAAATAAAATATGAAATGATAAGCGGGAGATAGTAAATTATGTGGCAGCAAACAAGACCAAGAAAAGGTAAAGCAAATAGCCCGAAAATGGAGAAAAATATTTTATAAATACAAATGAATTGATATCATATACAGCAGGATAATATGTTCATATGGGCAGAAAGCAGAGGAGCCATCATTATCTGGCAATTGAATGCACTTATGCAAACAATTACAAACTGCCAGGCAAATAGGACTGCCGTGTATCTGTATCTCAGCGCGGGTATCTGATCAAATACGGAGTACAAATCAAAATGCGATTTTCGTGCGTCCTTCTTATCGGAAAGTGCACGTTTACCTTTCGCTTCCAATCGTCTGGCGCTTCACTATATGTATGGGCATATGAGTATATCAGGAAGTACTCCCGGCAGAGGTTAAAAAACTCCGATGTCGCAACGGCAGCTAAATGTATCTCAACTGTGTGCAAACAGAGCCACACATTCCACTCACCTCAACTCGACTTGGTTGTGTTTTCGTTTTGGTTTCGGTTTTGGTTCTGGTTTCGGTTTTGGCTTGCAACGGCTTGGAAATTTGTTTGCGCTGTGGCTAATGAGGCAGTCCAATGCAGATACAGAAGCTATATATAAACACCGATATAGATATCGCGCTCCTCGCATTCATGTGCCTTCAAGATTGCGTGATCCCTCAGATAAACTTGAGCTTCACTTATTTTTTGTTTCTTTAGAATACTTGAAAAAGGTTTTGAAAAATGAATTTTTAAATAATATTAAGAAAGTTAAAAATAAATTTTAACAAAAAATTCTGCATAAATCATAATTTAATTTGTAGTAAAAAGTTCTTTTAATTTCAGCTATCAGTTTGATTTATAATGACCAAAAATCTTTAGCTCTTATCAAAAAGCCCTAAAACTTAACTGCCAATCTTTTCCGAGCGGAAACAAAATAGTTTTAGCCCATGGTCTAATCAAAATAATAATTTGCCATCGTTCAGCAAACAATTTCCTTTGAAAGCCCCACACCAAGGATTATCTGGCCCCGTCCCCGTGTTATCTCATTAATGATTCCCATAATTCTTAAATTTTATATATACCAATTAAAAATAATAAAGAAAAATATGAGGAAGAGAAAAAGTAACTGCGTTTATCAGTTTTTAATAAGTTTGCTCCGTTGGCGAGCCAATAACAAAAACAAATCAATTCGCGCACTTAATGAAAAAACACAACTCAATTATAAACTTTATCAGTGGTATTCGGGGCGGAGTTTGGGGGCGGTGACTTTCCTGGACTCGCATACATTTAAAAGTTATTTTCTCAATGTTGAAAATCAATTAAATTTGTGTGTCAATAAATAAAATTTACTTTATTATCGCCATATTATCAAATATTTATTTCGCTTCCTGCTTCTTCTTTTCGTCTGTGTATTTTAGTTGATTTATAATGAAAATTTAAAGAGACAGATTTATGTTTCCATTAAATAATCAGGATTTACGATTAATGTTTTAACGGAGACAGTAATATTTTATTGCCTAAGTAAATAAGTCAAAGTAAGTCATGTAAATAAGTCAAATTATTTAAAATTCTTGAGTATTTTAGTTTTTAAAAAAAAATTCTGAAACGTATTTTTAATTAACAAATCTGTAATGCAATAGAGCCCCAAATATTTGTTAAGTAGTTAAGAAATCGGTAATTAATAATCAATAAACAAGCTTATTAATTGACCTCCTTAGAAAGTGTGGCAACCATTTAGTAATCATTAGGGTCAGGCAACGCTGAACCGCCCAGTTTGCTTAAAACATTGCGCAGAGAAGAAGAAAAAACAGAGGAAACCAAGTGCTGTAGGTGGGTGGAAAAAAATGCAAATAATAAATACCAAAGTGCAGTAATAATTTGCATTCACACATGTGCATAAGTAGTGAACTCTCTGTGCCCACAACTCTGTCAACATAATGAGCCAATCGAATTTCCAGGCACTTTGTAGATACAACTCAACGAAGTATCCGTATCTGTGTATCTCTGTAGCTGCTGAAATGTAAAAATTATTTATTGATAACGCAATTTAATGCCAATTATTTGCACATCAATATTTGCTCAATTATCAATTGCAATCCAGTCGGGAGTGGTGATTAATGAGCAGATGGATGGGATGATGCAGGGTGGCGGTTTGTTTCCGATTTTGATTTGTGGTTATTGTTTTAAAATGTTTTGGAAACCTTTTACAATTTGTTCTCCCTTTATAAAATATATATATTTGGACAGAGCACAAGTGTCAAAGTCAACTCAATCAAACCTCCCTCTTTGATCCCTTTTTTGCCAACCTTGCAAGTTCTGTTTACTTAGCTAACTAAGGCTCTGGAAATCTGTTGAAATTTTCTGGCATTATTGTTCACTTATCGGCTGAATTAACACGACAAAAAGGGAGAAATGGCAGGTCCCGGAAAGGGATTACCCATCTCTTTTTCCTTCCACGCATCCCTCTCTTTCAGATTTATATGCTGACCGCATCAGCTAAATTGCAGCAACATATGTGACGATTTATTTTTATTGGCGATTTCAATTTCTGATATTTGCTGGCAAATTTAACGCCTGATTAGACTAATATGTCAGAAAATTTATCAGTGATCAAACGAAGTGATTTTTGATATTTAGGAAAGGGTTTATCAATTATCAAAAAAAATAAATTTATATTTTTCTTTATTTATATTTAAAAAAATATTATTGTACAGAATGACACCCATATTAATATGAAATCCCGAACCTTTAGTTTAATTGCGCTGTCTTCAGTGTCTAGAAACCAGCTTCCACATGGACAAGTTTTATTTTCCATAATCGACGACCAAATTGCCCGGGAGCAACTGTGACATTTCTCCTTACTCTCTAACTCTGTATCTTTTCTCTTTAGTTTCTGACATCCCATCTCTGGTGACCAAAAACAGCAATATCCGATAAGTGACTCTACAAAATGGGAAACCATTATTATCTGTTCTCTATGTATTCACATAATACAGCTTAACTACTCACTCTTTTCTATAAAACCCATTCCAGGAGGCACGCAAGACAGTAAAAATGGTGGTATTTCGGTCGAATTTAAATTAAAATCCAACTTCTGGGCATCGATTTCAAATTCACAACTCCATCCAGTTGTCTTGATATCACACTCCTCGTTTATATGTGTACAATTCGAACATTCCATTTTATTATAAAAACTTTGGGCAGCGGTAAACAAAGCGGCTATAAAGCATACAATTTTGAGCATTTTTTAAGAAGTGGGTTCTTAGAATTTTTCTAAAAGGACTGCTGCGATCTATAAAAAGGAAATTGAATATAATTTATCCTCATTTATTTTATTTAATTGTGGCTTCTTATATTTATAAAGTGTTAATAAAAACTATACTTAAAATAAACTATTTAAAAAAGATTCAAGTAAATAAAATTAATTTGCTTGCGTTCTTTTTTAACCTATCAACCTTATACAGGTTCTTTTTTAAGGTACTACTTATTATAATATTAATGTTGTATCCTAAAAATGGCTGATGTAAAAAATTCTAACTCTAATTGCATATTTACGTAACTATTTCCCCAAAATCAAAACGAAATCAAACGAAAAGCTAACAGAAAACACAATGCGAGCTAAAACCGAAACCCTATCCCAATCCTCACACCTCCAACGCAAAATCCTCGTACTACCAACCGTTTCAAAGACCCCCAATATCCAACCACTCACTCTATCTCTCTCTCTTTCTATGTTTGTGTTGTTATATAAAATAAACTATTCTGGAAAAACACAAATCATACAGGGGCAGAGCAAACGAAAATGGACCGTTGCCAGGTCATGTTTCGAGGCCCCCACCATCAGCACCACCCATAAATGTTAGTTAAATGCACGTGGATGAGTAGATAAATATCGTATAATGAAAATAAAATAAGAACCAGATAGAAACTTCGGAGGAAGGGTAGAAAGAAACAACAGCAATCAGTCGTCATTGCAGACATCGCACTAATTTTAAGTTAGTTTTTGGGAAAACATTTTCGACTTGAGTTTGGGTTTTGGGAAAATCGGGAGTGAGTCGGGTTCCATTTTTGTACGTGGTCAAAGAAAATACACTTTGGCACGTTTCTTGTTAGCGAACCGTTTGCCCCATCCCCTCGATCCCTTAACTCTTTTCCTGTCTGGACATTGCATTATATATGTACTGTTTATAGTTGAATGGTTTTTATTCAGGTTCCGAGCTCTTGAGTTTTTTACTTTCTTGTCCTTGTGCCAGCTGCTTGGGTCTCTATTTGCTTTGGCATTGTCCTACGGTTTAAATTTAGAAAAAGTTAAAAAGTTTTAGGTACTCATACATACAACAATTTAATTTTGTTTACATTTTGAGCATAGGACTTTACAATTTTTTTAAAGTTGTGTACTTGATTATATATAGTTTTTAAATTGGTGGAATTTTTTTTCATTTCCCTAATAACGTAACAAATAATTATCCGATTTACAATTTTTTCGATGTTTCGTTGAGAATTTAAAAGATAAATGTATTTAAAATGAAAATTAATAAATAAATACCAACTCTCCAGCTGGTATAATAAAAATTAATGAAGCTTACATCTATAAATTAGACAAATTTAAACAAAACAAATTGACTAACTAAATCTTTGGATAACTCTAGTTAATATATTAAATACAATTCCATTCGATTTGATGTCCTTTGCTTCCGTATTCCATCCATTTACCACTCGATGCCTTCTTAACTCTGAACCACTTGGCAGCCGTTCATGTCCACTTAGTAATCCATCAAGGGAACATTAAAATCATCTCATCTGGCTGAGCGTGGGTCGTAAAGAAAATGCATTATACGAGCATTACGGCGGTAACGCCAAACGGCCAACCAAGTTATAAAAGGCCAATGAAACGAGACGTTTATTGTTATCGAGATTATTGATTTCGTGGGGCTTAAAGCTGCAGTTTTAGCTTGAAGTGTCGTCAAGTGCCTTAATTGCTGGCCTAATCATCTGCCAGACTTCCTCTGACCTCGCCCCCGAAACCCACCCTCCCTTTAGGACCCATTAAGGACCATTCTGCTCCCTCCACACTCAAGTTGATTATGAAGATTCTTTCGTCTTTTGCCGTTGAACTTGTTAGTTGCTCAACACTCCATAATGATGGCAATTATAGCCTCGTTTTTCCAACAATTTATATGAAATTTCGTACTCCTGCCCTCTCTTTTCTGGGCCCAAGTCCCGCCCCCTTATGGACATTTTAGGCCATTTGGCCACGCCCCATGCAATGAGGCTATCTCTGTTTCGCCTCAGGGGCTACTGCCAGATACTCCATCTTGAAAGCGGGTTTCCAGAGAGCGCGAGAAAGAGAGAGGGCGAGAGAGGGAGAGAGCGGTACTGATTGTTCCGGTGGTGCTTAATGCCTTATACTGGTATTCCGTATCGCGTATATGATACCACGTTTGGGTTCCAACAGCTCACAGTCGTTGATGAGCGCTCGTCGAGTTCGCTTCGTAGAAAAACTAGAAAGAAACGTACAATACGCGTGCGTACGCGTTCGAAAAATTCGTTTTCGAAACGTGTTTAAAAGTGTTTTTGGGAGTTTGAAAAGATCTAATCTATAGAGAATATAAACTAAACTTTCGGTGAACCCAGTGAAGCATGTCCAGTGCCCAAGTGTCGCAACAGCCGCCTCCTCCGCAAAACAGCTCAATGCCGTCGCAATTGGTGCTGAGCCACATTCAGCACCACAGCAGCAGCAGCAGCAGTCTGCACCACCAGCGCAGCAGCCACCAGAGATCATCAGCCTCGCCGCCCACTGCCCAGGACTACGATCAGGGCAGCAATCAATCGACCCTCTCGCCCAGATCCCAGATAACTCCCAGCCCGCCGGCAGCGAGTCCTACCCACTCGGCGGCCACCACAGGCTCACCGCTCAGCGCCTACGCTCCCGGTTTGAGTCCCGGTGGTGTCCAGGACAACAGTCAAACGGATAGTAGTCACAGTCAGGCTCAGATGCCCCTGCTAGTGGCTCCCCTGCCAGTGGGTGCTGTGGGTCCACCGCCGCCACCACATGCACGGCTATATGTAGAGGGTTTCCCGCCAGCACCACCACCGCATCATGTGCCGCATCCTCATCCCGCCCTGGGTGCCTATCCCCTGCCACGACTTCCCTTGATGATGCCGGGCAATCCCGCTGCTCCACCACCACCACCTGGAGCCACTGCACCACCGCCCAGTTCCCCACAGCCCGCTGGCAATCACCTGAGCCACAGTGGAGCAACCACAACCACTCTCCTGCCACCCGCCCAAAGTCAGCCCAAAAAGTCCTTCTGCATCGACGCTCTGCTGGCCAAGAGTCAGCACCAGACGGGCGAGCCACAGCCCATAATTGTGGACGATCGCCTGGCTGCACTGCACTATGCCCGGGATCAGGCGGAACTCAACCACGCCTTCGTGACCGCCTCCAATGCTGCGGCGGCTGCTCAGGCCGCTGCCTCAGCCGCCGGCGGAATCAGCGAACAGGAGGCTCTGCAGCGCATCCGGGACTCCAGGGAGTACGATTCGCCCAGTCCCGACGGCATGTCGAGGTGAGTAACGACACTTTTCAGGACAGAAACACGAACTTATCAGATGGTTTGAAAGGAACATGTAGAACAATTACGATTTTAAAGACTATATAGTATGTTTTCCTTGGAAAAGAAGGTATATTTTTTACCAATTTGTGTTACCCCTTTTCAAGACAAATCAACTGATTATCATTCGTAACCGTTTTATGCCGAATTATAATAAATTACAACTCATGAACAAGTGTAAGCAGAAGAAAGAACAAAAAAATCCAAGAACTTGTTTAAGTATTCAAGAAAATTTATATAACAACAAATTATAGCTTAGCACGTTATGGGTTCTTACATGTTACAGGTAATCGTTTTATCAAGCACTTTTGGAATCCTATTCGTATTGGCCTTTGAACGTTTAGAACTGTTATTTATCTTTTACATTTTAAACGCATAAATATAGTTAAAAAAATTTTTTACGGTATTCAAGACAATATTCAATCGTCCTAGAATGGTAAAAGAAACTAATTTGAATTCAAGTCATTGTATCTATAATTTACCTATATATTCAATAAATTCATACATTTATTTAAATTAATGATATAAATTCCATAAGTAACAAAAATAAATTTTAATAACCATTTATATTTACTTGCTATCATAATAAAATGAATAAGACACTTTATACACTCAAAAAAAAATTTTAGAAAATCGCCTATGGATTTGCTTTACTGGCGATTTTTTTCTATATTTCTGGAATATTTCTTGAATTTAATGAATTTTGATTAATTGGAAGAAAATTTTCTTTACCAGTAGAAAATTTTTTTATTTTAAAGAAAAAAATCGCCAGTGAAGCAAATCCATAGGCGATTTTCTAAAATTCAGGGCGATTCATTTTCTGAGTGTAGTGAAGGCTTTGGTATGGCTTACAGAAAAAATACTATTTACAAAAATGAAGTTAAATGATAAATTTATTGTGGCAATCAATACAAATGCATGTTCAAATAAGAGTCATTACTCATTTGCATTAGAGAATTAAAAAGCAATTCCCATAAAAAAGAAAGCTCTTACCAAGAATCCCTCAACTTCTTGTGGTAATCCCTTGGCTGGCTACCAAACAAAACCGAGGCACTCGGCAAAAACCATTCTGAAAGCCAAAGCGAAGCCCCCACGAAGCCCCAAAGCAGCTTTGCTGGCACTCGAAAACATGGCAAGAAAAAAGCCTTCAATTGGTCAATTCCAGTTTGGTCATCGGCCACAGAGATTACGTATACGCCATGTGTCTGCCGCCATAAGTGTGTGAGTGGCTAATTTCAAGTGCGAATTGTGTACGAAAGCAAACAAATTAGACAAAGGGTGGGGTGGGGGTAATATTAATTGTTTTCAAAATGTGTCGCGTAATTTCGATTGTCATCGATTGGTTAGATAATTCACAATAGAGGGTGTCTTATAAAATGCTTTATCTATATTTTTTGCAGATCTGAATCGCCGAGTTCGTCGCATCGCTCCAGTCCGCCCATTAGTCCCGGTTGTGAGGATCAGCAGCCCCACGGTGGAATGCATCCCCAGCACCTGTCCATGCGCATGTCCGACTTCCATGACGAGTTCAAGAAGCCCATTCCCCCGCACAGTCCCATTAGACCCCAGGATTTCCCACTCTACGCGGGCGGTCATCCCTATCAACTGCTGGCGCAGGGTGGATCCGCCTTCCACAGACCTCTGGATCCCTCTGGCAAACCCATTCCGGTAAGTTGAGAAGTAACTAAATTAAATGATAATATTAAAAGCTGCATAACTTTACGTAAAATCAGAGTCCCTACTAGTTTAAAAAATATTCAATATTTAACTTTTTAAAAATATTTTTAATTCCAATATATATTAAAACTTGAATATATTTTAAAAATCTTTTTTATCATATAGGAAATATCTAGAATGTTACAATTTTTGATACAATTTTAAAATTCTTAAACATACATTTTTAAAAAATTAGAAAAAAGTTTCTTGAATGCAAAACTAATTGTATTTTTTCTTATTTTTCAGATACCCATGGGTCATAATTTCATGCCCTCACAGCTGCAATTCGAGTTCCTGGCCCGCGCTGGAATGCTGCACCATCGAATCCCCGAATTGGCCGCCTATCCGCATCATGCGATTCTGGGCAAGACCCGCCGACCAAGAACCGCCTTCACGTCCCAGCAGCTCCTGGAGCTGGAGAAGCAGTTCAAGCAGAACAAGTATCTGAGCCGGCCCAAGCGATTCGAGGTGGCCAGCGGACTGATGCTGTCCGAAACGCAGGTGAAGATCTGGTTCCAGAACCGACGGATGAAGTGGAAGCGGTCCAAGAAGGCCCAGCAGGAGGCCAAGGAGAGGGCCAAGGCCAACCAGCAGCAGCAGCAACAGCAGCAGACTCCCAGTGCCGCCAGTTAGGAGGAGCAGGATTAAGGAGGAGGATCTGGAGTAGCAGTCCAGTCCAATCTAGTCATGCCGCGATCAAACCGCCGTCCCACCATCAAAACGAGACACCCTGTTTCCTTAGCCCCAGTTTTTCGCTTCATTTGCGCAATCGGTTGAAATCTTTTTCGGGTTTTTTCACATCGATTTCGATTTATTATTTTTATTTCGTGCCACAACAACTGGCCACCGTGTGATATATGTAAACAAGAAATATAAATTAAATTCATTAGCCCCCCTCACTCTTAGCCCCTGTATGTACATAAACATAAATCTAAATAGGAACACGCAAATAAATAACAAAATAAACATAAATCTAAACTAAATGAGTAATGCCTAAGTAAATAAATTACATTAAATGCGATTAGTTTAGTTGGTAATTTGTAATTTGCTTGTGTAATTTGTGTAAATAATTGTAATTATGTAATTGTAGTATTTAATATTAACAAAAAAACAAGAGCCATTGAAAAAAAACAACAACTACAACAATGTATGTAAAAAATCGCATTGCGATTGAATTAGTTAATTATATGGATTTTATTTTCGAAATCAAAACTGGAAAAAATAAATAATGAAAAACATGAACTGAAAGTGGAGCATTTAATAGAAAAGAAATACTGGGGGAACCAACGAGGGATAGGTAAGATATGGTGAAATAAATATACAAGAATAAAAATTAAATTAACAAAAAAAATTAATTTCCATCGAAATTCTGTTTTATATCAAATAGAATTCAAAGAATTTTAAATAATATACCCATAAACTAATTAATACCAAAGTAGAAAAAAGAAAAGATTATGATCACCCAAATAATATATAGAACGGAACCCACCGAAAAATTGATAGAGGTAAACAGGTATAAATAAATATTTAATATATATTCATGTGGAATATCTAATCTGGTTGGTTGGCTTCGAGAGCTGTCTGTGGTCTCGAATTTATAAATACACGACGACCATAAAGAAAGAGCCATTAGCCACATATACTTCCCAATCAGAATTCTACTCAATTTCTCGACGATCCGAGGGCCCTTGCGATAAAGCTTATCGTTGCAAATAAATCAAAATGTGCGCAGATAATCAAGTTAATTGCTGAGACAATAATTATGACTAAATTTATAGTATCACTTCAAAATTATTTCGCTAATTAAAATGTAGCCAACTTAAAGCGAACAACGAAAGCACTTCGAAGTCGCTTCGCTTGTTGATTTCGATTTGGTTGTTTTTTTGGTATGCGTGTATGGCAAATTGAAAAAATCATGGTGAGCCTCAATTTCCGCCAGAAGACGAGCCATATAAAGTATTATTATCAAGCGATACAAAAAAAGGTTGGAGCATTCCAGTTATTGATAACCGCTTGAACTCAGTTCAACTCGGATCAGCTGTGGGGATCTTGCAAAGCAGGTGATATTTTTGGTGATATGTCCGTTATATCTGTTGGTTTGAGATCTAATATTTAGTTTTAAGATATTTGGATGATGAAAGTTTCAATCAGAACTAAAGGTAATGCAATTATGACGATAATTTTAACTACTAGAGAGTGATAACAATTAGCTGGAAACGACCTTTATTACCACCCTTCGTCATCGAAGATGACATAAAGTGTGAACTCATTTGGAATTGTTCTGTTCTAAGCACTTTCGATTGCATTTCCCATGCCCAAAACCATTTTCATTCTGATGAAGAGAACTCGTTCGTCCACTTTATCACGTAATTCTCAAGTATTTCATAGACGCGCACACGGACGGACTTTACGGGTTTTATCGTTGCTGTTGGTTTGCCTTGAAGTATGCTTCATATTGTTATTATTGGTTGTTTGATCTGTTGCTGTTGTTGCCGTTATTGTTGTTATTATGCAGCAGTTTCTTGTTGCTTGATGGGCTAATAAAAATTCATTTCGCTCTTCGGGTTGCCCACGAACACGTAGCGCATCTTTGTCTAAATAAATGAAGGGAGCAGACATTTGTATAAAAGAGGATATGTGATACAGTGGTTGCAAAATATCTTTTTTATTTTACTTTCCATTAAAAACTAATCACAAAAAAATAATTGTAAACTTTAAAGTAATAGAATGATTTTATGGTAAAATAGTTGTTCGATTCAAGCGTAAATTAGTGTGTTTTTAATTTATAAAGCTAAATAAAAACAAAAAATGTTTTTTTTTAATTCAAAAACAATTCTCATTTAATTGTACCGGTCTCACATCTTTAGTTAAATCCATTTTATTAATCAGTGAACTCTAGGAACCTTTCTACCCTAAACTTAACCCACTGTGCACCCTGGGCTGCGGTTGCTGATGCTGCGCTTTATTTTGATTTGCCTTGAAGTGGCCAAATGTGTTGAACCAGAACACAATGCCAAAAGGGGAAGGGCAACGATTTCTCCCTAATTTCAATTCATTGAGCTATTAGCGGGTAATTTGCAGCAGGAGCATTTCAATGAAAACCCGGCGAGACCATGAAAAGGGTGACAAAGATCAAACCGTAGAACTGGAATTGGTTTCGAGATGAATGGTCCTGGATGCTGTTCGGTCCTTCGGGATGCCTGCTGCTGATTGTCGCATCTGTTGCAAATTAAATGTGAGTTATAATTTCTATAAACACACAAGCGTTGGGTTGAGGAAGGCACACACCCAGAAAATCGTCGATTGAATTGAGGGTTCACTTCCCAGTCCGCCGGAACTTCCCCCTTCCCCGCCTGACTTTGTTGCTTTTGTTGCTGGTGTTACAATTTGGTTATCCCCTGTTGGGCAACGTCATCAGCTGCACTGCGAGAAATACCATTGATGAATAAAATAATTAATTACTTATTATTTTCCAATCTGCAAAAGGATTTATCTTGAAAAATCATTTATTTTTAATTTTAAACTGCCAAATCTGAGATTTGATTTAATAATAATTGATCTTAAAATCAAAAATAGATAAAAAATATTCTATGTTTTATATTATCTTAAATATATTTATAAAATATATGTTAAAATGTATATAAAAAACTGTAAACTTTTTTATTTTTATTAAATTTTAAAAATAATAATGAAAATAAACGTATTTATAGTCGGGAACTTATTTGAGATTCCTTAAGAGTTTTTTCCCAGTGCAGCACAACCCTCTTGGATTGTGCGGCATTTATAGTTCTAGACCCGGGTCCCAATTTGATCTTCATGTCAACACAGATGATCACATTTTATGCTTAATTTTGTTATATGTGATGTTTGCTTTACTGATTTAGCGTACACCACTGCCCACCCCCATTTAACCGAACCCCTCTCATTTCTATTTTCGCATTCGGTGGAACTTTTACGCTAATATTCAATCGAAATTTCCTCGATTTTCGATTTTATTGTCAAATATGTGCGATTATTGTCATATGTTGGATTTTATTATTGTCAAATTTGCATTTGTCTGCGGATCGCAGTCGGGGTTGGGGAAGTATAAGCGGTTATTGCTCGTTAGCCAGCTAGCTAATGGCTGTTTACCCTGTTAGCTGAACGGGGAAATGGGAAAATAGGAGGAAGGATACGAGGGTCAGGATGCTGCGGTGCCCTATTGATTGGCTTCGATTGATATCACAATTGATGGGCGGCATTCCGTTTTTAATTGCTGCCGCGCTGGGCAAATCCTTTCTAATTGATGGGGGAAATGCATATGCGCACATTGAGGGACTATAACTGATGGTTTTCAAAGCAAATATGGTGATTTCGGAGTGACATAGTTTAGAGCGGTCATCAAAACCGTACGTCTTCAGGGTTTTTTTAATTTTACAAACATTTCTGACTAGACATTTTTAATAATTTCTAGAATAGAGCAGGTGATCTTAAGAATTTTTAAAATAATACTATTTTGAAACAACCCCAGTTGCAATATTAACAAACCAATACTCTGCTTATTACTGAAAACCATCTTTTAATTTTAAGTAATTTTAATCATGATCATGTTTTTCCTTAAATATTTTAAAATAAATATTAAAATATATTTGCAATCCTTCTTCTGATCATAATCTATGAACAAAAAAATAAACATCAGGCAAAAATAATTTATTGTTTAAAGATTGTCACAATCCGATAATTTTCCTAAATATTGGTTTAGTTCCCTAAAACGGCATCTTAAAATCCTTTTGAATTTCTCAAGGCATGGAAAATCTCTCCACCTCGACCTGCAAAGTACTTTCTCCCCTCATTGCTCCGTTAAATTTGCTAATTAACTCAACATAAGGTTTTCTAATTTCATTTAACGCAGAGCAATAACAGCAACAGGGAGATATATATGTACGAATGCGGAAACGGAGCCCGCAGTTGGTCCAAAAACCAGACGAGCAACCCTCTCTTGGCCACCCACCCCTTAACCCATGGCAGCCCCCCACTCTTGGAAGTTGAGTTTGGCTTCAGTCGTTTGGTATCATTAGCCTCTGGGGATGATTTGTTGTTGTTTGGCAGCACTTGATCAACGCAGCAATGAATTCAATTAGCACCAAAACACCAAAAGAGCGTTGCGGGGGGCTATTTCGGAAAGGGGCGAGGGTGGAGTGGCACTTGCTGCAGGCAGAGGAAAATCCAGAGACAGAGGCGTAGGAAAAGGACACACCCTCGCCATTAGAGAGGGGAGGAAATGTGACGGAGTCTGGTCAATTGTTTGGATTATTTTTTCTGGTGAATTATTGCGTGTTGACGCATATGGTGACAATTTTCCTTTACAAATCGTCCCATCTCGTTCTCGATTTTCCTCCCCCCCTCTCTTTCCCGCGCCCATTCGCCTAATGCCCCGAGCAATTAGCTTTGATAGAGGAATTGTTCTGGCTGTCGCAAAAATTTCCTAACGATTAAATCGGAATCATTTTGGCACTGCCAGGACATTGACTTTATGGTGGAACTGTTCCGATTTCCCATTTCGCCTGGGTTTTATGAAAAAGTAGGTAATTTTTTTAAAACGTTTTCAATTCTGTTGAAGTTTGGTTTTTAATGTAATAGGATTACAGACTTCACATTTGTTTTGATTTGGAAAAAACAGTTGATATTTTTTTAGGATTTCAAATTAGTTTTTTTTATTAAAAAAATTAAATTGTAAATAAATATTAATTTTACGATAATATAGATAAAATAGATTTGAATAAATGTTTAAAATGTTTTAAATTTTAGAGTCTGCATTGAAAAGTGTCTGAGAAAATTGAAATTCAGAACGCGAAAATATATTTTTTCTATCCTTTCCTTTCTCCAAATGCCTCCTTTTCGCTGTCCTTTTTCCTTGTTTGTTCAGTGGACGCACGCACGGATTTTCTTTGCTTCGTTTATGGATTGATGGCAGCCAAGTTGGAAATTCCTGATTGCTCTTGGACATTTTGTGTTTGCTCCGCGACTGTCTCCCTCGTCACCACCGAAACCCAAACCCAAACGCAA